TATATTATGCATGATGCATTCTGCTCATTTTAATTCAAGAACTTTGAAAAGATTGATCTTCAAAGTATGAAAAACTGAGTAATAAATTCAAAACTTTAAAGATATATTTAACCGTAACTATTATCTCTTTGATAGAAAGTTTGAGGTAACCTATGTGCACCAGAATACTTTATGCTTTGATTTCTACAGAGGACTACCAAATGATATTTTTAAAAAAAACAAGATGGCAAATTATGTATAGTGTTACAAGTGTATGCTCTTAAAATCAGAAAAGTGTGAAGACACTAAGCTTTGTAAAATTTAACAAAAACTTTATTTCACTAGAATACAAAGTGAAAATAAGGAAAAAGAAAAGAACTTACAGTATTGCAAATTAAATCCAAAAATAATCCATAGCCTGCATCATACTGATATGTCAGCAGTTTCTTGTTGAATCCCAGAAATACTATTTCAGGCTTGAATTGAGTATAAATTCCAACGAATGTCTTATCCAAGAATTTTGTCAGAGCACTTTTGTATTTCCAGAGAAATAATCACTTGAATTCAGTAATTTGAAGAAAGTAAAATTCAACCTAAACTGGTCACAACATAATATAACTTAAAAAAGTGCTAGATGTTAATGCATGACTGATAAAATCTTTGAAGTCACAAGATAATATAGTTCTCTGCTTGACCTCAGCAACCAATACCTAATGGAAAATAACCTTCTAGCACATTTTAATGAGCCTTGTTTATTTAAAACATAATACCCTATAAAATTAACTTTGGAATCCCCAAATGTTGACCCAAATCAATGTTTACCTGAATAATAATTTGGTCAATAGACTCATACCCATAGCGGATAATGAAGCAATTATTAGTTGTTTACATCAATGAAATTTTTTTAAAAAAATTATAAAAAAATAGTAAATCAGGTCAAACAGAAGTGAACTCAATTCTGGACAAGGTCAAGACCAGTAAACAGTTACAATAGCATGTAATGGAATTTTTAAAAAAATTTAAAAAAACTGACAAACAATTAAATATACATCAGCAATAGGTATGCTTTTTTATCCTTGATTTCCTTCTGGCTCTCAGTTCCATTGTTATGTCAAGTCATAAAAGACATATTTTGCATCTCTTCTTGGCAACAGATTCATTGTTTTCAAATGCCAATGAGAGCACCTTCATGAGATATTAATAGAAGGCTACAATAAATACAGTCTGACATTTTCAGAGAAATTGTTGCATGAATTCCAGATTTCCTTGGGTTCAGGAGCCCATAATATGTTTTACAGGTTTACAGTAATAATCTATGAAAATAATCAATAAAGCAGCTTGCATTACAGGGGCTTGTTGTGGCTATTCTGTCATATCAGAAAAACAGAATGTGTAAGATGAAGAATTTACTGTCTACACAGCAATTTCTGCCTTTATCTGTTGGTCTTGATGATGAGCTCCCTGCATGACTCAAAGTAAAATCTATTCATTATTAGAAAAATAAATGTCACTTTGTTTTGGGGAACCATACAAATGTACCACTATGTACATGATGATATTGTATTTGAATACATTAGACATGGCTTAGGATACAACCATATCCACTTTATAAAATGTATCCAGGGGTGGTTTTGTACTGAGTACATAATACAGGGTATGGGATACAACCATATCCACTTCATAATATATATCAGTATTATAGGTGGGTTCATCATTTACATTATGTATTTATAGTGTATTGAGAAATATATCTGCAATGAAAGCTAATAAAATATGAGATTTCATATTAAAACTTGTGAATTTCATAATTTTGATTCTGATTTTTCAGTCACTGATTATCATTTTTGATGATAAAACAAGTAATGTATAAAGGATTTATTTATCAGTTCTGATTGCAATTTATTCTCTTTCAGCCTGTTTTTAATACCAATTTCTTTGAGAGAAAAAAAAAAGCTCATTTCCAGATACTGCATTATAAGAGAATTTGGGAGTTATTGAGAGAGTAGTATACAAGGTATGGTATATAATCATGCCAGCCTTATAAAATGTATCCTGCTTCACTAAGATGACATTTAACTAAATACCCTAGCAGGTGGGGAATCTTAAGGTCATACAGCAAAGCCTGTTCTGAAAAGAAGCCTTAAAGGACAAGTGACATAATTCAAGATATGAGCTAATGTATACTAAACATGTAGATTATATCAAGTTGTATGTCTAGTTAAGTATATTTTCTAAATTTAAAAAACAAAATACGTTGTTGGTTCCTGGATGTGAAGAAATATAAATTGTGCCCAAAAGTTACCTTTGTTATTTGTGGCTTTTATTGATGGATTTGCAGATTTTGTGGCAAGTTCTATGGAACACCTGCATTACTAGTGAGTTCTAATGTGCCTTAGTGCACAATCTGATTAAAATCAAATCTCCAGGGTCTACATGAAGATCTAACAATTACTGCTTAGGGCTTATATTCTGGTGACCTTTGAATTAGCCAATAGAAATGCAGCTTTCAAAAGTCTGAAAGTGAATCAAATTATTTTGAACACATAGGTGCTCTTTAGCCACACCGCTTTATCTCCCAAACACCACAGAATAAGACTTCATCTGATTGGCTGATAAAATTAGCAATTATAATACAATAACAAGTCACCAGAACATGACCTCTGAGTGGTAGCTGTCAGATCTTAATATGAGTACAGTAAAGATGTGATTTTAATCAGATGGCATTGGTGCTTATTATCCCATTTTAACCATATATGTGATCTTGGAACATGTGCTTGTTTTTTGGCCAGAAATTTTAAAAATTTTGGTGTACAGCAACACTACATCATTATAATGGAATGGAGTCATGAAATATACCACCATATGAGATGTACTATTGATGTAATTTTACTTCTATATAATAAAATGGGATCCATCATCATACGTGTTATGATAAAAGGAACAATATTATAATGAAGTGCTCTGTTGTGATGGTAGTGTTGTAACTTTTTATGTAATGCTAATGTCTTGTTCTTAACTTAGACTTGGTACAGTTTTAACAGTACCTGTAACCCATTGAATGACTTGGTACAGTTTTAACAGTACCTGTAACCCATTGAATGAAATTTGCACAGGATATAGTTCAGTTTTGGTACCATTTAATTCATTCTTTGATTAAGGAGTGGCATTGGCACTACAATAAGCTGCATACTCTAATTTTATAGTTGTATCATTGTATACCACATATATACACTTAAACTGCGAAGATCAGAGACCTAACAAACTGTACATACCCAGATCTGCTGGTACATTATGTGACACCAGATCTGGGTATGTGCAGTTTGCAATTGGGTCTAGTCTTAGAATCAGGCATATATGGTAGTTTAACCATACCTCAGTATAAGTCAGTGGTTAGTGTTATATTAGTTTCATCCTATTTGCTGCATCATAGAAGACTTCATGCCTAGTACTTCACTGCAACCTTATCAACCTTAATTTTATTTAGGTAGGACCCAAGATTTTTATTGGTTCAAGTATAGGGGTGCTCCAATTACCATAGGAGACAATTCAACAACAACAATAGATGTAATCTGGAACCATTTTTAAATTGAAACATTTGAAGGACATAGTTGATGATGACTAATATACTGCATCAGAATATGAACTTAAGCATTTAGTGTTTGATATAGCCTGTTGAAATTAGAGTACTATCATACCAATCAGTCATTGACACTGAATATGAAAAATACTGATGGTGATTTATAATGTTAACTTTTTAAGAAAGCCATAAGAGTGTACCATAAACTAGGTATATTTTATTGTGATATACTGATGTTCTTTATTGTAAAGAACCATTTTTTTTAAATCCTTAAAAATTAAACAAAAATGTTTCATCTTGTTTGACATTTTGTGAAATTTAGCCTTTTGACAATAATAATTGTAACTTTGCAGAGATATTTAATGTATTAAAAAAATGCTAATAGGTTATTTGAAGCAAAAACTTTAATGCCAGCTGTGGCTGTATATTTTGGATACCTTGGCATCTGTAACAACACTGTTCATGGCAGAGGTGGCATCAGAGCTCAGATCTTCCTGACTGGAGTGTAATTACTGATGAGTATTGTTAACCTTGTTGTGGGAGAAAGAAATGCCACAAGAAAGTAAAAATACTTAACAAAATACCATGATAAGGTGCTTGCCCTTCACACCTTTGGTGCTCACATTCCACAGTCAAACTGGTGCCTAGATTCATTTTTTTTAAGTAAGACTGACATTTTTATAGCAGAAATTTTCAATGCTATTATGCTTCTTGTGCATTATTCTGTTTTTGGCCTTCTGAGCATTAAATGGTAAAATTTGTCAAAGACAATTATGTTTTGAGCCAGAATAGTAAGTCACAATCATTTTATTATGGAGTAATTTATTCATCCCATGATCTCATTAGTCCTAAATGCTGGTAAGACCTCCAGTATGGCCACCACATTTGTCATCTGGAAAATCTTGTTTTCATTTCTTTTTTAAGATGAATAGTCATACTGACATGTGTGTTCACCAAAATGTTTCTTATTATGTCACTTTGGTTCAAAATAAAACTGGTGCAAATCTGTTATTAAATATGGCCACCATGGCATCTGTAATGAAAATGTTGTTATTGTTCCTTGTTCAAAACAAAAAGTCATATCAGCATGGAATTTCCACCCAAAGATTTCTAAGTATGATCACATTTTGGTCCTAAATGAAAATGGTGCCAAGTTGACATCCATTATATCCACAATAGCAGTTTTCCCTGAAGAATATCAAAAATGGTTTCAACACTCCGCAGTTAAAATGAAGAAATGGGTTTACATTATAGTCCTGGAACACAAATTTTGTTACATTTGGTCTTCATGTGTAACAGAAGTTTAAGGAAATTTACATAATAAAGGTATGATTTGGGTCATTTTTTTTGTGCATTATGGCACAGAAGAATTAAGTTATATAGTGCCGAGGCAATTTATGTAAAGTGCCTTGGCCAAGGACACACCATCGCAGCTGACTCAGGCTGGTCCATTTATAGGATTCAAACCCATACCCCAATAATTGTGAATCTGGTACTCTAACCACTGAGCCACCATGGTTCAGCTGAATATGGAGGGATGTTTGAGACTTGCTTTATAACATTTGACGTCATTTGTGCAGTCGTTAGTACCATCAGTCAGTCCATATTCCTTAATAATTATCTTAACCTTGCTGAATTTTCTAACTAAGGCAAACAGTAAATAGTTTTGTCAAGTAGTACATATTTTTGTGGAAAATATTTCATTTTGAACTTAAATAAAAAGACGTTACATTTCCTATTAATATCTTTAAGGAAAAAAATTTGTGTTTGCCTCAAAATTGCTAATTCTGGCAAGAAAATAGATTAATCACATTTAAACAGAAATATGTTCTGAATGGTTGTGTAAATTTTTGTATTTTTTGTAAACATGGAAGCCTTAATTACTACTGGGGAAGGAGGTTGCAACTTCGACTACCAAGGGTTGAGTCTACAATTTCTTCTTTTCTTACTATGATGCATAAAGTTCATTTTATAAGCTTAGAAAATTCAGCAAGATCATTGGTGAACTTTGAGGAACAGCACTACCTTCCATTTTTTTAAAACTTGGTAAATAGGTCTATATGATCAAGCTCTTGGATGACTGAGTTATAAATAAAAGCAAGAAACAGTGCCTTCATCTTTAAAAAAAGAATTTTACGGTCAACTATTAAGTTATTTAAGCTAGGTAAGTGATACCAGACCCTCTTGCGCCTCGTGTTATACTGCATTTATCATGTTCATATGAATGTCAGGTAAAATCCAGCATCATAGGTCTTGAACATGGCATGACATCCCCAATGAAGGTAAATTAATATGATGGAAAAAAAACTTTTATGCATGTGCATTGTAACAATTTAAATCAATGATAATGAAGAATGTGTCATAATATGGGTAGCATCATGAAAAAAGGTATTATTCCAGGCTTTTCTAATTGTTAATTGTCCTTGACTTCAGTAGCTTCCTGCTTCATTGTTGAATTTCTGGACATGTTCTTTAATCAATACCAGACTAAATAACTGTCAGAATAATGGAATGCATTGTAGTGTAGGAGTTTGCTATGAGGTAGCAAAAGGGATTCTACCACATTCAGATACTTGTGGTGTCTCATTGGTGTGAGGAAGAACATCAATTATTTTTAAGCAGAAGTCAGTCTCATTGTAGGAGTTATAATTTATTACAGGAAAATAAAGGTTTCAGGTTGATTTTATATGTGATATATTGGATCCAATTTAATGTGTTTACAGAATGAGATGAATGCTTGAGTGAACTTTAAGATGGAAAGCAGTCACAATCAGTTTCACTTTTCATTCACGGTTGTGTACATTATTCCATTTTGTGATAAAATATAAAACTTATCAAATGACAATATTTTCCTAATTTCATTAAAAGGGGGTGACCTTAACAAAATCAGATATCACAAAGTTTACTCAAATCTCACAGAATATTTTGTCAGATCTGCTGGTCTGTGCCATTCTCATAGGTATGCATTCCATAAACCTTAGAGTTAATAAAACATCTGTGTACAAACAAGACAATCCCATTTTTAATGCAGGTGTGTTTATGGATCCCAGACTTCCCTAAAATTATATGGTCAGTCATTTAGAATTTTTGAACATGTTGGTTCCTTTTGGGGCTGAGCTTTGTATTTATGCATGGTCCTGAATGATGGGCAATGTTAATATGATGACAGATGTCATACAGTCTAGAGTGACAAATGTTGATATGATATCTGCAGTATGTGCAAGGAATAAAATGCTGCATAAAGCCATACTGCTTCATCCAGGAGTATTAAAATTTTGTTTTGTTAGGCTTTGCTTGCATCTTGCTTCACCAGTAGCTGATCCCATTGCTTCATTCAACTTTGAATCACAGCTGCATTTCAACATTTTGCCTTGAGAAATGAATCATATTCCAATATTAGAATGATGTTAGGAGTAGAATCTGTTTGCACTATTCCAATACCAGAATGATGTTAGGAGTAGAATCTGTTTACACTATTCCAGTACCAGAATGATGTTAGGAGTAGAATCTGTTTACACTATTCCAGTACCAGAATAATGTTAGGAGTAGAATCTGTTTGCACTATTCAAATACCAGAATGATGTTAGGAGTAGAATCTGTTTACACTATTCCAGTACCAGAATGATGTTGAGAGTAGAATCAGTTTACACTATTCCAGTACCAGAATGATGTTAGGAGTAGAATCTGTTTGCACTATTCCAATACCAATGATGTTAGGAGTAGAATCTGTTTGAACTATTCCAATACCAGAATGATGTTAGGAGTAGAATCTGTTTGCACTATTCCAATACCAGAATGATGTTAGGAGTAGAATCTGTTTACACTATTCCAGTATCAGAATGATGTTAGGAGTAGAATCTGTTTACACTATTCCAGTACCAGAATTATGTTAGGAGTAGAATCTGTTTACACTATTCCAGTACCAGAATGATGTTAGGAGTAGAATCTGTTTGCACTATTCCAGTACCAGAATGTTGTTAGGAGTAGAAACTGTTTGCACTATTCCAGTACCAGAATGATGTTAGGAGTAGAATATGTTTACACTATTCCAGTACCAGAATGATGTTAGGAGTAGAAACTGTTTGAACTATTCCAGTACCAGAATAATGTTAGGAGTAGAATCTGTTTGCACTATTCCAATACCAGAATGATGTTAGGAGTAGAATCTGTTTGCACTATTCCAGTACCAGAATGATGTTAGGAGTAGAATCTGTTTGAACTATTCCAGTACCAGAATGATGTTAGGAGTAGAATCTGTTTGAACTATTCCAGTACCAGAATGATGTTAGGAGTAGAATCTGTTTTCAAGAAACAATAATGCTAATCATGATCTTATCTTTAGTAAATATGGCTTAAAATTATTATCCAAGACAATGAAGAGTCATCACTGTTTTTCTTCTACACATTTCTCTCTCATTTGCCTATCTTCAGATGGATTTATTGTTCCACTTCATATAGTTTATATCTGCAGATTAGTTTAATGAGTTCTTCCACAAAGGATTCTTGTTATAACATCACCCTAATTGTGTTGAGGTTGGCACTGTAATAGCAACATACTGATTTACCATGGTATTTTGACCCAGTGCCATGTACCACAGTATTTTTCAGCCATGCTGGTACTTACACAGTTTTTATTACTATGGAATATTTGGACATTCCTGAGTAATCTTGTTATGAATTATATTAAATTATATATAATTATATTAAATTATATTTAATTATATTAAATTATATTAAATTAATTTGCAACAAAATTACTCTGGAATATCCTTGATACCTTCATTTTTGGGGTTCCCAGGTGGCCAAGTGGTCAAAAGTGCTCACTATTACCAATCACTGCCATCTCACCTCTGTCCACATGGGTTCCAGTCTACGGGTCAGCCATTGTGGATATATGAGAAACATTGCTTGTAGCTTCCCATGGGTCATTGGCACTTACTAGTCTTACCTCCATCAGTTATACTGGTCACATTATATAGCCTATCATGTACTGAAAAATAGTATTAAACCTAAAACAACTATTTTTTTTTTATGTACCCATCTTGGCAGCAGTTAATCAATTAACAAATGTGTGACAGGACCCTGTTTATTTCAGACAGACTACCATTTTAATGACCTACATGACAGTCCACTATATTGACAGTCCATTATATTAACAGTCCCAAGGTGATAGTATTCCATGTGAATTTAGCACCCTTTCTTGAACTGATTATGTAGGTTAGGAGCCTATATAATGGGGTCCAAAAAAGTCTGGTTTTTATATGCCAAGATTACTGCAATCATGTTTTACTAACAGATATCATGTAAGAGAGGGGGAAGCAAAAAAAATTTCTTGCTGGTTTGGTATCCTATTGTTTTGGCTCCCATATATCTTCATAGTGTCATGCAATTATATGTATAGTGAAGCCATCAGCTGGGCGCAACCCTTATCATGTGTTATTGTGTTAGGTTGTTTGCCTATTTTGATACCTTGACCTAATTTCTCTAGAGCATAAATTGAAGTAAATTCATGGTTTGTCAGGTTTTCTGAATTCTTGACTTGGAAGTGTGACAATATCACTTAAGGAATAGCATCATAGGTGAATTTTTAGCCATAAAAGAAAATGACAGTCTGTCTCACACACAATTGTACAACCTTATAGTTTTCATTGTCAGAGAAATCTGAAAAAGAAGAGAGATTTGAGAGAAAGTTATTTACAGAACAGGAAAAAAAAGTACTTTGTTATTTGTTAGTTAAAAACCCATATAGCTATTACATTTTTTCCTGGGGGCCCCCTAGTGGCCGAGTGGTCTAAAGTGCTCTCCATTATGGATCATTGCTATCTCACCTCTGTCTGTGTGAGTTTAAGTCTCAGATTCGACCAATGTGGGAATGTGAGAAAGCTTGCCAGTAGCTTCTTGTGGGTCAGTGGTTCTTTCTGGAGTTTTCCCCGGGTTCTTCCTCCACCATTAATACTGGCTGCCCTACAAAGTCTATCATGTGCTGAAAAATGGCGTTAAACCCTCAACAGCAAGAAATGTTTCCCCTGGACAATATGTATTTTGGATTTTTAATGTAGGTTTAACAATTTTAGTCTTATGGCTCTTCTGTCTTTAGTGTGGCAGATTATAGTAATGTCTAGCATTGGGGCATCATATCACAAACATGTACGATCATGTTCCAACCAGTCATATTTTCCTGACACCAGGCCAACCAGTCCTAACACTAAATCTCCTAATGCTCAGTGCCAGATGAGGCAGCTTTTAGTTTTTAAAAGTCTTTGGTATGACTTGGACCAGGTTTAAACCTGTAACCTCCTGCATCTGAAATGGACATTTTGCCATCTCAAAGAAGATGTCACTATGAATCATTGGGTGAAGCTTTCTTCAAGAACCTTGTCCTCAAACTTGTTTTCTTGCTTGGTGGTATTGTGTGATGAATTAGCAAGCTACTTGCTCTATTCTTTCATCCAGGTGGTGTGAGGTTCAGTGGAATTATGAGTCCAATTTGTATGAGGGTCTCAAGGTAGCTAAT